ACAATTTTAGCCTTTGTTATAAAGCTTTGCTGTCAATATTTGTTTTCTTTATAACCTACGCATTAAATACTACTTAGTACTCAGATAATACCTTATTTTACAACAAGCACTTAGATAAGGAATAAATTATTAAGATAAAAAAGAACAGTAGAAATTACAGACAGGGCAATTAAGATCTCTAAGAAGGGTTTAAAAGTAATATTGTATAGTATTGTATAACACTATAGCAAAGTACATAGTAAAGTAGCCAGCTTTGTATAAGAAATCCAAGAATCAAGAGTTTATATTAAAAGTGCGTTAAAAGGAACAACCTTCCTTCTGTTCCTAATGTACTAATCATCAAAAAGAAAAGTTTATATTGATTATCATTCCTGTTTTCCACTATCCTCTTTTTAAAAGTAAATTATGGCATTACAGTCCCAAGTTTCTGCTAATGAATAATCATGTCAGTTGTCACTCAATTATCACTTTCAACATTTAATCTAAATTATGTACAGCACCTTGGGTTTTTTTTTCCCTTTCTTTGAAGTTCCTCATTGAATTTAAAAGTCAAATTTTTTTTTTTCAAGAAAAGTAAGTTGATGGAAGATGGAGGCTGAGATTAAATCAGGGGGAATCAATGATCAAGGATACTTGGAATTCTTATGAATACAAATAGCCTATCAAGGTTAATGAGGTTCAACTCAAGTTTAGAAGAAGAAAAAAAACGTACTTAGTATTTTCTATGCATATACAGATTTAAGGTTTTAGGTATAATTTTAAAGGTAAATTATGCAAACCCAAATGCACCTTTCATTCCGGTTTTTACAAGGTGTTTTCACTGTTTTTCTCCTGTGTGAAACAACTGCTTAAAATGTGTACTCTGGATCAACAAAAACTGACGCCATCAATAAGAAAGAGCAAAGGTCCTCTGGAATACTGACAACTCTTCCAGAAATTAACAGATTTTATTAATTTATTTTTTAAATGTTTATTTATTTTTGACAGAGAGAGAGAAAGAGCAGGGAAAGGGCAGAGAAAGAGAGGGGGACACAGAATCTGAAGCAGGCTCCAGCCTCTGAGCTGTCAGCACAGAGCCCAATGAGAGGCTGGAACCCACAGACTGTGAGATCATAACCTGAGTTGAAGTCGGACGCTTAACCAACCGAGCCACCCATTTAACGTGCTGTTAAAAAATGACCAGGCAACAAATGTTAGCTTTAAAAAATAACCACAAAAATATTGTATAATTTACGATTTTGGTCAACAAATACTAACTTAGCAACTAATATGGGTAAGACACTGTCAAGGAGCACAAAGGAGTATAGAGACAAGACCTGGTTCTTAACCCATACTCATTTATGATTTGAAAAAGATATAAGTATTTAATTCATAAGTGGCTTCCAGAATGCCACAAGTTTGAATTACAACATCAATGCATACTGGTAAATAGCCCAGAGCAAAATCTGTGCACCGCAACATATCAGAAGAAAATGCAAACAGAAGGTTGAGCATCAGAGTGGAAGCTGAGAAGACTTTTAAAAAAAAAAAAAAAAAAAAAAAAAAAAAAAAAGGGGCAGTTCAACATACTCCAGAAATAAAGATAGGAATCTAAGGAAATAAACAGGTCTCTGGTTACAAGGTAAAGAAAGGTGGAGGGTGAGAGAACCTTACAATAGCCAGGAACAAACAGTTCTTCAGACATTATTCTCTGACTGTGTTCACCAAGCAACTTTTTGGTCACTAATTCAACCTTCTAAAACCTAGGTATAGAAAACTGGGAGACTGGTGCCCTGCATAAGAGATCAGTGTTGAAACATCCATAAAGAAACCCCCAGAGGGTACATGAATGAGCTGGCACTGCTCCCTAGTAAATTTCATTATTAGTATGAACCAGTTTCCTGGGTCACATTAATTCTAGAACACAGAAAGTTCAAGTTTCCAGATGTGAGGACAAGATCTTGAAACATGAGGTGTTCACCAAGGTAAGGACATCAAGGTCAGATTTGTCCTACTGACAGGGCAACTTTCTAATGCAGTCCCCTTTCTCCTTCATTTCAACTCGTTTTGAAATTTTAAAGACATCTGCCCGGACTACTTTAAGGCAGTGTGAGAAAGGTGCCATAAGAACATTAGTGATGTGAGCAAAAGGATGAGGTACAGAAAGAAGGATTATCACTTGCAGCTGATAGAGTCTAGGAAGGCTTCAGGAAGGAAAAGAGATTAGGGGCTCCTGGGTGGCTCAGTCGGTTGAATATCCAACTCTTGATTTCAGCTCAGGTCATGATCTTATGGTTCTTAGGATCAAGTACCTTAAGCTGGGCTCTGTGCTCACAGCGTGGAACCTGCTTAGGATTCTCTGTCCCTATCTCTCAAAATTAAGCAAATAAACATTAAAAAGAGAAAGATTACTGACTGAACAAGCCAAAAAAAAGAGTATTATGCAAATATTTGGGGGCCTGACCAACAGTCACATTCTGAGCATCTTGTCTTATTCGTATTTGCTTTCTAAAAAGGAACTAAAGAGGATTAATAGCCATTCTTTACAGAATGTATAAGGCAACACCAAATATTTTTGAAAAATAAATGCTATCAAACATATCTGAAAAATAGAGACTAAGTATCTTTCAGTTAAATTTCAATAAAATGACTGTTAGAAGTTACATTGAGTGATCCATGACCAATACCTTCACAAAGCCTACACTGTCATTCTGCGAATAGCTTGGGAATAAAGATATTCAAAGGGCCTTCACAAGGTATGAAAAATAAGCCATAATCAGAAATGTCATAAAATCTAAAATGGTGGGGGGCGCCTAGGTGGCTCAGTCGGTCAAGCATCCAACGTCAGCTCAAGTCAAGATCTCGTGGTTCAGGAGTTTGAGCCCCATGTTGGGCTCTGTGCCGACAGCTCAGAGCCTGGAGCCTCAGATTCCATGTCTCCCTCTCTCCCTGCTCCTCCCCTGTTCACGTGGTGTTCTCTTTCTCTCTCTCTCTCTCTCTCTCAAAAATAAATAAACATTAAAAAAATTTTTTTAATCTAAAACAATGGTTATAAATTTATTTTATTGTTAAAAATAATGTCAGGAAAATAAAAACTGGTTAATGGGAATTTCTTCCAGAAAAAACAGTATCTTTTTGTAATACCGTTTTAATGGCAACAGGGAAAAAAACATTTTCATCCTCCGAAATAAATTTGAATTAGACTTGAGACAAACCCAAAGAACTTTTTTCATCAATTTTAGAATGTCACCTGCATAGAGACAGGGAAATCTGCCTGACTTTTGTTCATTGCCATGTCACCACCACCTAGAATAGTGCCTGACATGTAACAAGACAGTCATTAAGTGTTTAATATGTGAGTAAATGCTCAACCTCTCTGTCCAATTGTCTTTCACATCAAAATCTGTATAATTAACCCAAACTAATCCAAGAGAACTCCAAGTCTTTCCCTAATCCAGGTGAAAATGTAAAAGATCTATTGTTAGGGCAAGGGGAAAGCCAGGCTCTTTGAATAAGGGCATTATTAGGTTATTATAAGTAATTTTTTAAATGCTTATGTGAGATTTTTTTTCAACTGATTCTGCAAGTGGTAAATGAAATCAAACAATGAAAAGGAAGGAAGGGAAGAAGGACAGACCAATATGTGGTTATAAACAGGTTAGCCAAGGAATTTTTCTACCTTTGATATTTACTAGTATAGGTTATTTTTTTTTTAATACTTAACTTTGGCAAAATAATATTTTAGCACTTTTGCCAACAGGATCAAGGGTTAAAACAATACCTGTGAAGCAAACTTTTGAAGTCCTAAATTACAATTGCTCTGATAATGTCTCTGATAAGTATTTATTATACATGTAAAGGGCTTTGTAAAAAGTATGTCAGTATTTCATCAGCTTTACAATCTGAATCTTGAAGCAAATCTAAAATACATTTTTCCATTGATGAAAATGAAGAAAATGCATCTTTCCAAGATGAAAAAGAAACTCAGACTAGCATAACATTAAATATTTCCTTTGGGTTATATAAAGTTTGATATCTTTAACACCAATTTTCTACCTTTCATTATAGTTTAGAAAATTCTTCAAATATGGCACCTTATTATAAGTGGAATACAACTCCACTAAGAAAAACCAGATATAAAGGGAGGTCTGATACATATTTATTTCTAAATGTGTCATCCATGTCTGATCTAATTTGCGTAATTATAAATGGAATTAAGACATTTCCTTTTTATGAAGTTCTTTCTTTTGATTTTTAATATTTTCAGATAATTACCCTGTCTACGCTAGATAAAAGGCCACGGGGGGAGGCACCTGGGTGACTCAGTCTGTTGAGCGTCTGACTTTGGCTCAGGTCATGAGCTCTCTGTTCCTGAGTTTGAGCCCCGTGTCAGGCTCTGTGCTGACAGCTCAGAGCCTGGAGCCTGAGAATCTACATCTCCCTCTTTCTCTTCCCCTCCCCCACTGGCGCATGCTCGCTCTCTCTCTCTCTCTCTCTCTCTCTCTCTCAAATAAATACACATTAAAAAAAAAAGGCAAATGGGGAAAGGTAGCTACCTACTTACACGTCATTCATGATTACCACACACCCTAAATTAATGGAGGCAGTGTAATTCCACCTCTTCCACAGCAGGCAGAGATTTAAAAACATTCATGGTTCCAAAGAAGAAATACCAATAATACCCTCTTTGCTGTGCCGTCTTCCAGTTTCACCCCCAAAATAAATGATAATTCACCATTCCTTCAAATAAAGGTACTTTCTGTCTGAAGGAAGGGCTCAATTTGCTACTAGAAGAAAAATACTGCCAAGTTTAATAGGTTCCTGGCTTTAAGGTCCAAATGAAAGAGAAATGAATCTACAGACATTTCTATATATAAAGTAGTCATCTATATAACTTTGTGTTATGTTTACTCAAACTAGAGTTCATAAAATATCACAAACTTTACATTAAAACTTCATTAAGCAATTCTATGAAACAAAACTAATGTCCTTCAAATACAGCTTGAAAATAGCAAAGTCACCTCTACTTGCGCTGCAAAATGTGCCTTCTCCTGGTCTTTTCGCTCCATGCACCGCTTCGCTTCCTCTAACTCAGATGCCATTGCACTGAAGTTCAGCTGCACCCTCAAATCTGACATCTGCTTCTCCAGATTCTCTTTTTCCCGCTCAACCCCTTAAAAGAGAAAATGTAAAGCTTGATGATTGTTCTTCATTCACGGGAGAATGTACTTTCAAATGGTACAAAGCCTTGACGTTCGAAAATTCCAGCTAACACAATCCACTTATTAACACTGTCACTCTACAGACTGTTCAGAATTTGCGAGTCTATTGTTTCAAGTCTCACTCAGTTTTCTAAAATGTATACGTTGATGTGTTATCCAGTATTATTCCATTGTGATACTAAAACTTGAGTTGGTATCAGGTTTCTAGTAGAACTGAGTTCAGGAAAATCCTATATATTTTTTTCTTTAACTTTCTTTACATCCCTGCCTCTAAACTCTAATACAGAAATACTGAAAGAATTTTTGGCTAAGTTCTACATCAGCTGAAGGTTACTGAAGTTGACACACAAAATGATGATTTCTTGCAAAATAAACAAATGATATTGTTAAATCTCTGATTGTGTAGGACCACTAACTAATTTACTAATTCTGGAGACTACTACCTGAAATTATCATCACTGAACAATATAAACAGACTTGGCATTAAATTCAGCACACTTGGTCTAGGACACACAAGACACTGTCGTACCATCTTCTTCAAAGATAAATACCATAAAAACCCTTTCACGATGAACTTACACTCCACGAATAGAAATAAAACATATAAATAAAGTACTTCCTGGAGTCTAAGATACCAAAAATTAGAACATCTACTACCAATTTAAAACTACTGTTTTTCCAGTAGTTTCCTTTCTGGGAAAGGGAAAGGGAAGGAAACATTAGCAAATTCAATTTATACATCATTCACAAGATACATCTGAACTGAGAGATATCAATCACACTGTTCAAAATTTCACATCTTGGATGAATGTGGATACACGAATGGAAAATATATAGGAATTTTTAATAGCATAAAAGTAATAACAGATACTATACAGATTTTACAGATACAGTTATCACACAGAAAGAAATACAGTAAAATGCTGGAATGTGAGTAACTTGTTCTGAGAGTGTTCTGCAAGATGAGCAAACATTTCTAATACATTTTATCTTGATAAAAAATACTAGTAGTACGTGACGTCAAACATCACATGATCACAACGGAGTCAATGGTTCTCTCTCGCTTGCTGGCTCGCTCACTTGCTCACTGCAGGATTGTGGGTGATCTTCTCCCATGCTTGGATGCTCAGTATCAGGCCACAGTGTTTGGCAGAAATGAGTGATTTTTCAGAACACTGGAAGGTGCCCACAACTGGCACTAGTTTTTTGTCATTTCAAAGTCCTTATGGACAGTCCTTTGCTTTTCCACACAAGAGTAAGCTTAAGAACGCTTTGCTTCATTCTAGGTCATTGGATAGGTTCCTTGTTAAAAGTGCACAAAAAAAAAAGATTCCATTGAGCCAATAGATAGCAGTGATTCCATTAGTGATAGGGAAAGCTGTCCTACACAGTAACCCTCCTCTCTGGTCTCCCTTACAAACCAGCCCCGAAGGTTTTCAAAGGTAAATGCAGGTTAAGTTATTTTTCTTTATATTCTGTATTTTCTGTGTTATTTTGTATTATATTACAGTATTGTAATCATTATTATATGAATATTTTTGGGTTGTGGAACAAATTATCTGAGTTTCCAATATTCCTTATGGGGAAATTCACATTGATATACAAGTGCTTTGAATTACAAGCATGTTTCTGGAATGAATTATGTTCACAAACCAAGGTTTTACATAAAGTGATTAACTCTATCTTGTTGAAAAACTGGAGTAGGAAGAATTGGAAACTAAGTTGGAATTAAAGAATGAATACAGAATTTCACCAAGCAAGGGAGCTAGGGTGATAACTCAGGGAAAGGAAGCACCATAAAGCACAGAGGTACGATAATGGATTTAATATTGAGGTGGCTGCAAACCGTACTTCCACATAGCTACCACCTATGAGCAAGGGAAGGGCGAGAGTCAGCAGGGTGTTTATACATTGCTAGGGAGCTTAGAAATTATCCCATAGACCAGGAGTTCACAAACATTTTCTGTACAGGGTCAAATAGTAAATATTTTAGCCTTATGATCTCTGTCACAACTACTCAACTCTGCCATTGTATTGCAAAAGTAACCTAGACAGTGAATAAATGAATGGGAATAGCTATATTCCAAGGAAGTTTATTTACAAAAGTCTGGATTTGCCCCTTGGGCCATACTTTGTCCACCCCTGCTCGGTTTCCAATGTGAAAATATGCAATATTTGTTTATGTGTAAATGTCTTTATCAATTTTATAAATATATATTTTAAATTTTATGTTTAGATATGTATATGTGTGTATATATAACACATATCTCCAGAGTGTCTGTCTATATATAGACATGCATTTCAGGATATATGTTAGTGTATATAGATAAAGTAACAGGAATATATAGTATATAAAATATAGAGATATTAATATATATGAATACACGTGTAAATACATATATATAATATATACTTTATATTTTTTTAGTTTATTATTTTTTCAACGTTTATTTATTTTTGGGACAGAGAGAGACAGAGCATGAACGGGGGAGGGGCAGAGAGAGAGGGAGACACAGAATCGGAAACAGGCTCCAGGCTCCGAGCCATCAGCCCAGAGCCTGACGCGGGGCTCGAACTCCCAGACCACGAGATGGTGACCTGGCTGAAGTCGGATGCTTAACCGACTGCGCCACCCAGGCGCCCCTAGTTTATTTATTATTTTGAGAGAGCAAGTGCACAGCGAGCAGGAAAGGTGCAGAGAGAGAGAATCCCAAGAAGTCTCTGCACTGCATGGGTCCAATGTGGGGCTCAACCTCATGAACTGTGAGACCATGATCTGTGTCAAAATCAAGAGTCAGATGCTCATCCAACAGAGCCACCCAGGCACTACCGTAATACATATTTCATGTAACATATATGTTTAATGTGAGACCTAATAATTTGATAAATTTCATAATCTAGACACATATAAATTGGTATGGATATGTATAGCTAGGCACACATACATAATGAAACATTTAGCAAAATTGAAATACTTAAAACATAAGGTATAAAATATAAGTAGTGCTATAAACACTCTCCTCCCAAACCCAGAAGACTGTCTCATATGCTACACTTTGAAATCACTTGCTACAGACATAATGGGTCACTACAGAAGAGCAGTTTTACAAACTCAAGTTTGGGGAGAAAAAGATTTGGGTCTGTCACTTCCCACCAATAAAACCTTAGGCAAGGTACTCAATCTCTTTCTTCGTCATTCTTTTTTTTTTTTTTTTTTAATCATTAAAACGGAAAAAAGACTAGTACCCTTCTCATAGAGGAGACAATGTACAATGGGTAGCAAAGTGCCTTGTACGCAGTAAAAGGTCAATAACTTAGGACAAGAGGTTTTAAGCAAGAGTAACATGAGTGGTTTGTGGCCTAGAAAGCATCCCTTTAGTAGCAGAAGTATAGAAGACAGGTTACAGAGAACTAGAACAAGTTATTAAGAGGGTAATACAAATGAGACGAAGCATGCCAAAACTGGGGTAGTAGGAATAAAGAACAAGATGGGCCAAATTCAAGAAATATCAGGATCTATAAATAGGGACAAAGAAGATGGAGAAGAGAAGGAATAATTTGGATGTTCTTTGTATTTTAGACTTGGCTATCTGGATAAAAGACAATGAGTGATTTCTTATGCAGAATTTTTTAAAGTAATACAAGAATTCTATAAAGATGAAAACTCTAGAACTGTTAAGAGAAGGTGAAGAAGTCTATTATACTGATGAGAGAACTTACAGATTTTTTTTAAACCTGATAAACAGTTAAGAAAATGGGAGATTCTTTTACTCCTCAAAGACTTATACCAAAAATAACTATATTTTTATAAGGCAAGGAAACATATAACATGTTCCACAGAGTCTTTTTCCAAACAAAATAAGAGTTCCTGTGTACATCCTTATGAAAATGTGATGAATAATCGAAAACCTTAGGAGTTTACTTTTAAAAATAAATTTTAAAATATTTGATGTCAAAATATATTTCAATTATAACATCACATGAAACTTAAGGGAGCTTAATGGCATGCAATTATGTTAGGATAGGTATGTCAGAATTTGCCATCTAGTGAAGATTTTCTGGCAATGTGGAAATTCTAACTTAGGCAACATACTGAGTTATGTGTGGGGAATCTGGGCAAATATTTATCTTCCCTGAATTTGATAGTAGACCAAATGCTTACAAGAGTTTCTCCAATAATATGGACATTTGAGTAAGAAGCCTCATTACTGAAATAATTTACAGCTGAACAATCTGGACTAGTCTATTAGAAACCATTATAAAATTTCAATATTACCATTTCTGTTACAAGTGAACTTCCAAAAAGAAATACATCCAGACTCATTAAATTCCACAACCTAAATCAACACCACCACTAAAAAGGTATTCTAACGTTTCTCGAACACAAAGTATTCCTAATCTACATAAGAAAAAGCCAGTCGTATGGTTCATGACCACTTCTACCAGATGATTAATTTTTGTCACTGTTATCTGGGTAACAAAAAAAGACAAAATCTTAATTTTAATTGTAAATATTTAAAATTGGAATAAAAGAAAGTGAAAACATAGGGGTATTTCCAATTAAGTACAAGGACAAGTGTATACACACACACACACACACACACACATACATTTAGGCATGGAAATAAGAAGCTTGGAAGAAACTCCACTACCAGCTTTGCTGGTTCTTTCTGGCTGAAAGCCACATGAGATAAGCAGGTCTGAAATGGGTTTAAAAATAAAGCAGAGGAGACATTAAATTGGATGCTAATATCAGCAACAAACAAGGGAAATTTAAAATTAAAAACATAATACCATTTACATTCACATCCAAAAAAAAAAAAAAATGAAACACTTAAATATAAATCTAACAAAATCTGTATGAGTAAAACTAAAAAATTCTGATGAAAGAAATCATAGTTGAATGAAATATATGGAGAGGTATTTCATATTCATGGATAGGAAGACTCGATATTGCCAAATAGCAGTTCTTCCCAACATAATATATAGATTCAACATAATCCAAATTAATATCATCAAGTTATTTTATAAATACAACAAACTAATCCTAAAGATATATGGAGAGGCAAAAGATCCAGAGCAGCAAATACAATATTGAAGAAGAACAAAGTTGGAAGACTAACACTATGTAACTTCAAGACTCACTATAAAGCTACAATAATCAAAACACTGTGGCAGTAGCAAAAAAAAAATAGATCAATGGGACAGAATACAGAGCCCAGAAGCAGACCCACATGAAAACAGTCAACTGATCTTTGACAAAGAAGTAAAGTCAATACAATGCAGACAAGGTTGTTTTCAACAGAAAGTGCTGGAACAAATGGACATCCACATGCAAAAAAAAAAAAAAAAAAAGGATCTAGACACAGACTTTACACCTTTTAAGAATTTGAAACTGATCACAGATCCAAACATAAAACACAAAATTATAAAACGTTTAGAAGATAGGAGAAATTATGGATGACCTTGAGTTTGACGAGGACTTTTCAGAGACAAGAGCAGAGTCATCCTCCATGAAAGAAATAATTAATATGCTGGACTACATTAAAATTTAAAATTTCAGTTCTGCAAAAGACACTGTCAAAAGAATGAAAAAACTGAGAAATTATTCACAAAGACATGGTGGTAAAGGACTGTTATATAAAATAATCAAGAGAGAGGGCTCTTAAAATTCAACAAGAAGCCAAACAACCACCTAAAAACTGGGCCAAAGACCTTAACAAAAATCTCATCAAGGAAGATATAGAGGTGAAAAATATGAGTAATAAAAGATGCTTCACATCATATGTTATCAGGAAAATACAATTAAAACAAGCTACCATTACAAACCTATGAGAAGAGCCAAAATCCAGAACACGGACAACTCCAAATACTGACAAGAATGTGGAAGAACAGGAACTGTCATTCATTACCAGTGGAAATGAAGAAATGATACGGCCACTTTGGAACACAGTTGAGATGATTTCTAAAAAACTAAATACACTCTTACCATACAATCCAGCAATTATATTCTTTGGTATTTACCCAAAGTAGATGAAAACTATGTCTATACAAAAATCTATATAGAGATGTTTGGTTTACAGTGGCTTTATTCATAATTGCCACAACTTGGAAGCAACCAATGGCCTTCAGTAGGTGAACGGATAAACAAACTGTGGTACATTCAGACAATGCTTTAAAAAAAAGAAAAACAAAAACAAAACAAAAGGTGAGAGAGAGTGCTACCAAGCCAAGAAAGGACATGGAGGAAAATCTGGGGTATATTACTAAATGAAAGAAGCCAATCTGAAAGGCTGTATGATTCAACTATATCAGATTCTGGAAAAGGCAAAACTATAGGGACAGTCAAAAGATCTGTGGTTGCCAGTGCTGGGGAGAGAAGGGGATGAATAGGTGGAGCACAAAGGATTTTTAAGACAGTGACATTACTCTAGGATATAGTAATGGCACCTAAATGTCATTTATACTTTTGTCCAATCTCATAGAATACACAACACCAAGAGTGAATCCTAATGCAAGCTATAGACTTCAAGTGATAATTATGTGTCAAGGCAGGGGTATCAGTTATAACAAACATACTTCCATTGTGGGGGGGAAAGTTGATACGGGGTGGGGAGGGCAGGGAGGCTATGCATGTGTGGCAGCTGGGGGCACAGGGAAAATCTCTGTATCTTCTGCTTAATATTGCTATAAACATAAAACTAAAAAACACAGTCTGCTTTTAAAAACTAGATGCTAAATCATGATTAGCTTATTGAAAACCTGTAGATCAAGAAATAAGATGACAAGAGCGCAATGTAAGAAATGCAATTCTGAAAGTGGTAAGTATTTAAGGAAGATCAAAAACAACCCACACATTTGCAAATCACAATTGTACCTCTCCTAAACCTCCAGTCATCTCCTTGTTCATCTTGATGGTTTGATTGTTGCTTGGAAATCTGAGACACTTGATGCTGTAAACCCTTTCGATCACCTTCTGCTTTCAAAAGTTGTGTACGGAGCTCTTCTACCTAAACACGTATAGTCAAAAATGAAACTTGTATCAGTTTTCAGTGCAGGAAAAGAATAAATGAACTCACAAATTATTGTATATTATTTTTTCTAGGGAAAAAAATTACTTCTCATGGGCTTCTGTCAGCACAAACGGAAGCCCAGTTAACCTCCTTGTTATGCCAAGCACAGTGGAACAGTCTCTCGCTCCTTTTCTTTATTTCTCCTATTACTTCCACAGAGAATGAATGTCTTTTTCCCCTTCTGTGTGTCTATCGGGACAAAGAATTTGACACACACACACACACACACACACACACACACACACACACACACACAAAAACCCAAAAATCCCTTATTGTGAACTCAGTGCACTCCACCACTATTAACCCAAACCACCTACATAATCATTTTTATATTTTTTACTCCTTCTCTTTCATGTGAATATGGCCTATTGACCGGTAAACTCAAGTGAAAAGATCACAATTTAGCATATTATAATATCAAAGTACTGTTCAAAATAAGTGAGAAATAAATGCTGTTGAATAAACTATAAACTCATTGAGGTCAGGAACTATGTTATTCATCTGTATTTCTAAAGACTAGCAAATTGCCTAAGGCATAGCAGGTATGTCTCCAGTGACCATTAAGCAAATTAGGAGTATCAAAAAGACTCAGTTTAAGTCAATGACAACCTGAATATGGTAATCTCTTACTTCAAAAGATGAGATCAGAAATCACAAGTCAGAGTACCAAAAAAAAAAAAAAAAAAAATCAGAGTGTAAATGACTACAAATATAAACTAGAAAAAAAGAAAACCTGAACTCTGCCAACATTAATTCCACTGTAACACTGGCTGCAGAACAAAGTCAGTGAACATTTTTAAAGGTTTTGCAAATTAGATGTTATGATATATTTTTAGCATTAATTGTCAAAATGTAATACTCCTGAGCATCGAAGATGCCTGAAATTTCTGCCTACCTAGCATACTATGTAGTGAGTTATGCAAGCCACACCTCAAAACAGAAAAAGGTACAACTGCAGTTTCTACCAAACACTGACAGGCCATTAGAAACACACATGCCCTTATCCAATGTAAGATGACTACTTCAAGTTATTGAACTTTAAATAGCAGAAGAACCAAACTCTCATTACAGGCTTATGGGCTACAAAATGCTATGCTTTAAAATTAAGCTTTATCTTTGGTTAAAAGGGGCAGGCAGCATCTTGAAAACCATAAATATAAGACAATAATGCAAAGTAACTTGAATATGCAAAGGTCTGTTTAATGTATTTTACTTCTTCCTTCACTCTCCCAATGCCTCCTTGAATAAAATTAAACTCCTGGGAAATTTTTATCTCATGCATCCAGTCTCATTTTTACACTGGTTATGCTAGGAGAGGTAAATCCTAAATTGGAGCAGCACTCACTATCACAGTGGGAACTTGGGCCAGTGCTTTGTACTAGGTTTCTCTGACTCTTCCTGAAAGGATTTCTTCTTTTGCTTATGCGTTTTAATATACATTCCTTAGGGGGCGGAAAAAAAAACTTCTAGATCTAGGTGGGATCTTCTACCTTTCACAGAGACATTGAATAGAAAAGGAGACTCAATCCTAATTTAATTTTTATCTTTATTTTTTAAAGTTTATTTAAATGTTTATTTATCTTGAGAGAGTAAGCACGCATGCATGAGTGAAAAAGGGGCAGCGAGAAGGAGAGAGAGAATCTGAGCAAGCTCCTTGCTGTTAGCGCAGAGACAAAAACGGGGCTCGACATCACAGTGAGAGCATGACCTGAGCCGAAATCGAGAGTCAGATGCTTAAACGAATGAACCACCAAGGGACCTCAGTCCTGATTTAATTTAAAAGCAGATTATCATAGCTTGCATAGATTTACCTGATGCAGAAGTGTTTCTCTGCTGCCTTCCGACTGATTCAATAACCTTCGAGATAGCTCCAATTCTTGTTCAAGCTAGAGTTTCAACAGAGGATAAAGAAAAATGTCCAGTGGGGCAGAAAATAACTAAATTATTATAGGCATAGTTTACGAGTAGAAAAATGGAAAAGTTTTCAGAAGATATTTACAGCTAACAGGAGAAAACATCTTGCTATCAAAACATATTGATGCTTCCAAGAAAATAATGTTATTTGCATAACAACAAAGTGAACCAGACCAGACCTCAGGGGGTCTGAGTTCTAAGTCAGTTGCATATTAACTATGACCCTCTTTTCCTTAGGTCTCCTTTCTGTCATCTCTAAAATAAGGACTTTGTATTAGACAATCTCTGAGATTCTTTCCAGTTCTAAATCACTGTAATCTAAATTCCAAAACACTATTTTTTTCTTTAGTACATTTAATGTCATATGAACTGAATTAGAATAAAAACTTCGAGGACCCAATGACTAAAGTATATTTCATCTAAATGGTGATTTTGTGTATTCATAATATTCTAACGTTCCTAATATTTCCAATATTTGTAACATTCCTAAAACTTAAAAATATTTAATCTCAGAATAAGATACTTAAAATTTCCTTAATATAGTCATAAGATAAATATTCAAAGAAAGTGTGCAAATACCTACAAAGTCTGAATGTGCCTAGCTTCCTACAAGCTGAAAAATCTAAGAGGATGTGAAGGGGAGAGGAATGTGCCACCCCAAATTAGGCCTCTTGGCATACGGATTTTTGGGGCTGAAGGCAATCAAGACCCAACAGACTCTGGAAAAGCTTTTACCTCTCCCTTAATTGCATTAAAGAATTTAGAGAGGGAGTCTATACCAGGAAGAGAGCTATTCCCAGAGATAACTGTTTATACCTGAAAGACTTCTCTGTAAGACAAGGCAAACATTTGTTTACCAAACATTTGCTCTTCTCATCTTCCTATGAATTGTTTTCCTCTCCTTTGAAGCCCCAGACCTCTATCCCCTTTCCTTAGCTCAGCATGGCATATAAGCCTCAACTGCCTGTCTTTGAGGCTCTTATTTTTATGCAGCTTCTATACATACAAAATCAAATTTGTTTTTCTCCTGTTAACCTGTCTTATGTCAACTTAATTATTAAATTAGCCAAAGAACTGAGAAGAGTAAAATTACTTTTTCACACCTACAGATGGGACACATGTTTGTTAAAATTCCAGAGAATACATATGTTAGACATGTTTGCATTTTGTAACAGTAAGGCTGTTCTATGAAACCACAAATTTATATTAAGGTGTTATTAAGTGCTTAGATTTGTGATAGTTATCCTAAATTATTATTTCACTTGACCAAACTACTTTCTATATATTAGTCCTTCAAATATGGTCCAGGTGGTAGGTATGGTTATCAAGGAGTAGCATAATGGGGCATTGTGTTTCTGTATCTTTGCTGTGGTGACAGCAACATGAATCTATACATGAGATACAACTGCACAGAACTACACACACAAATAAGCGCACATAAAGCTGGTGAAATCTGAATAAATTCTGTGAACTGTACCAAATCAGTTTCTTGGTTTTGATATGGAATGACAACTATGCAAAATGTTACCACTGAGGGAAACTGGGTGAAGGGCACATATTACTACCTCTCTGCACATTCTGTCTTGCAACACCTTATGAATCTGTAACTATTTCAAAATAATTTTTAAATCTGGTTATACAAGTTTAAAAAAAAATTATACATGTGGCCAATAAAATACCATATTCTAAAAAAAAAAAAAAATAAGGTATGTATACAATCACAGAATCCACACAAAATACTATCTGACTTGTCTTCTTTTTTTGAAGAAATAAAGAGGGAAGGAATCACACTTCAGTCAAAAAGGCTTCAGAATCTACCATGGCCCATACTGGTCATGACCACTGGATAATTCTGGCAGCCTCGACCCTCAAAGGGCAAGCACGATGACCTGACCTAACTCGCTTACCAGAAAGGCAGCATGGATGCATCATTTAACTTGACTAGGTTGGTGAATAAAAATCAAGGAAGCAATGGTAGATTTTAAAAGTGATATGGAGTAAGAATATTACATCGGGGGCAAATTTTCATTTTATCATTGGGCTCACCCTTGAATCTATTCATTTGCAAACTGAGGAGAGTTATCTATCTTCTAAATTCCTTTCTAATTCTAATGCCCTAGGCTCTATAGGTTTGCAGACATGAATACATGTCAAAAGTCCTTAATATCTAATGAGAATAGAGGATTCTTCCTGTAGGTTGCGCCTATGCCTATCTTCTATGATGAAAATGAATATATTCAAAATACCCATCCTTTAAACAACAAGTCTTTTTCCTAACCCTTCAGCAAAGTCAAGCTCCTTGCATGTTCCAAGTTCGACTCGCCTCTAGAAAGGAAGTGGCCAGGTGAAAAGGTAGCAAATGACCTGTACGCGTTTCCCAGACCAAGCAACAGAGAATGGCAGAGCCATCAAACCAAGTGATTCCATATCAGAACATAAAGGCTTCACTGTGTCTTAACAAATGATCCCAGGGACAACTTTTAAGACACTCAACAAATATCACTGGCTCCAAACAGCGTTACGTTCTCAAAATCTTACTCGACTCTTCTCAGTTTCAGTCTGTCTTAGCTTATTTTTCACGGCTCCCTCATTTTCATCTGCTTTAGCTTCTTGTTTCTTCAGTGCCTAGAATGAAAGATTAAAAAAAAAATGTGTATTAGTCCAAAATCCATAGAAAACTGAAAGACACTGTTAGGATCTGGAATTTACAGAAGACTATTACAGATCAGTGGAGTATGCTCATCAAAGAGCCACCAAACACTGGCTGTTCTCGCGATTCTCTTGGGCTATTAGCTGTTCCCTCACATCTTGTCCACCCTCGTTGTTTACTTTCTTTGCACCTTCTGGAACTTCCCCACAGGCTTCTAAATCTCCCTCTCCAGGTTATGCGAAGCAGTTTGCCTCTCTTCCAGTTATCAATTTCAAAAACTTAAACTCATAACCACACCCAACATCCCTACATTCCCACCCCTGTAAAGATCTATCAGTTACCAGAATTAATTCCCCTTAAAGGGCAATGTGAGAAATTATTTTCATGCTTAGGCTAAGAAATATTTAATCTTCATTTCTTATAATTAGTATAAATATTAATACTTTTACTTGATGTGAAAGAAATAGAAATCAATAAGCTGAACTTTAATTAAACAAATTGTGTTTTATAGTACATGGAATTATGCCTCATAAAAACAATTCTGAAAGTCAACTTTTTAAAAATCTGAATTTCCATATATGAGATAAATGAATAAAAGAACCTCTAATTCTTTTGGCTACCTAGGAATATGCAATAAAATTTCCTTTCCTCTTCACGTTCTACCTTCCACATCTGACCAGTTAACTTGTGATATCTCTTTTCCAAATAATATACCTTTCTATTATAGCTCTACTTGGTGCCCAAAATGTTATTTAACACCCCCCTTTTTTATTTCTCCTTTTACTCTACAGATATAGAAGTCTTAGAAAATTTTAATCAGTGAGAACTTAAATACTATTGTTTTCAGTAGAGGAATAAAAGTGAGGTCTTAAGGAGAACCCAAAGCAAATTACTACGTTTCCACCACATCACCTAGAAATGTCATTAAGTTTGAACATTAGACCATCAGTCAGTAAACAAATAAACACATGTGCAATATTCTAGCCCAGACTACTGAATCTATTTTCTACATTACATAGTTTACAATGAAACACAAAGAAAGAAAATCTAACTCCTAAGACCCCATACATATATTTTAATGCACTTTAAAAGTCTGAAAACGCAAATAACGCTCAAAGATAAAGATTTTTAAAACTAACTGAATCGAAAATACAAGATATTTCTTTAAACCTTAATAACAAACTTTAACTCATTTACTACCTTTTTAAGCGTATAAGGCGACACTAGATTTCCTTCCCATTGACTTAGATCAAGAAACTGAGAATTATATTAAAACTGACCCAGTAAAAGCAGTTATAAAAAGAGGAAAAAAATCACATGCCAATGAATTTCTATTATTATGTTATTTTGCTTTTTAAAGCTCATTTCTTCCTTAAAAGCAGTTTAGCTATAAAGCTATCAGGTACCCTGCTCCAGGATGCAGACTGTCTTTTACATGTTTAAGTTTACAGCAACAACACTGAGCCTTAATAGTTGGTCCCTGGGGCACATTTAAATCTTTAATAACAACAATTTTTCTTCTTTTCCTTAAGTATACCTATTTCCATTAAAAAGACTAACATATTGAGTATTATATTACTGTAGTTCTTTGAAGGTAGATGATTCTGAATTCTCAGTTATTTATAAAATCGGGGTGGGGGGGAACAGCCTTTTCTTTTAAAAAGTAAGGGAAAGGAGAAAAGGAAAATGTTTGTAGACATCTCATCTGACCATAAAAGCTCCCACAACTTTGACAACAGGCATGTTTATCAAGAGGCTCTAAAATATAACACACTCAAAAATAAAGAACAAATAGGGAATTAAAGGCCCTTTGTCTACTGTAAAGGGACCAGTCAGCTTGGGTAAGAATGAAGAAGCTGGAATGAAATAAAGGTCCTATGATAACTCCCACACAGGCCACTGAAATGTAATTAAAAAAAAAAAAAAATGATGAACATAAACTATCCGGTCTCATCCTCATCATTCAGCAGTGCTACAAGTGCATGCCTTTGGTCACAAGGGCAAGAACATGTAGATGACTCACTGGTAAACCAACCAGACTATAGAAAAACAAGTATGTGCTCATATCAAACAACAGGTCAGTAACATCACACCTGAAAAGGTACAAACTTCCAAGTCAGATTTCTCCTCCCAGTAACAAAGAATGAAGAAGTCAAGTCACTGAGAATTAGAAAATTGTTGCTCTTACTATATATTTTTAAAGACTTTTTTTTTTCCTTGTGGGGCGGGGAGAGTTAGGTTCACAGAAAAATTGAGAGGGAAACTGAGTTCCCACATACACCGGCGTCCTCATACAGGCATAACTTCCCCCATTATCAACTTCCTTCAACAAAGTAGTGCATCGTCACAACTAATGAACCTACACTGACACATTATAATCACCCGTAATTTACATTAGGGTTCATTTTTGGTGCCGTACACTCTATGGATTTAAACAAATATAGAATGACATGTATCCATCATTACAGTATTATAGTGTATTTTCACTGCCCTAAAAATCCTCTGTGCTCTACCTATTCATCCCTTACCTCCCAAATTCCGGCAACCACTGATCTCTTTACTGTCACCATGGTTTTTCTTTCCCAGAATGTCACATAGTTGGGATCATACAGTATGTAGTCTTTTCAGGCTGGCTTCTTTCACTTGATAATATGCCTTTAAAGTGTCTCTATGTCTTTTCATTGCTTTATAGCTCGTTTGGCTATGTTTTTTATAATTAAATTCTTCATGTAGGTACAAAATAAAAGTCAGCAAATATTTTAAGCTTCACAATATAATGCTATTGTGAGCCAAATAAGACCACATGAACTATAAAAAATTGTTTATATTTATGTATATTAAAATTTTTAAATAGCTTTAAGAACATTTGCTATATTTCAAATCAAGAAAAAAAATTACTAAGTACTTAGTATGTATAGAATACTGTAATAAACTCATGTAACTCCTTTTTTTTTTTTTTTTTAAGATGGAGATCTGGTGTCTATTTCTAAAATTCTTGTTTGGAAACCTAAATCACAGCTCTAAAACCATCAAACATCAATAGAATAATACATATTTTGAAAAGGAATATATATGCATAATGCAGCAGGATTTTATTGCTCAGAACTAGTACTACTCACTTAAATTAACAGAGCTTTTATTTCTGTCAAGTTCTGTGAATTTCTAAATTTTGTTTTTTCCTAAATCAAGTTAGAGATTCCTCCCACATGAGAACTAGCTCAAGTCATGGAAAATTTTAGCCTTTAAGTTCATCCAGTTGGGGATTATCTGTGCCAACAAAAACCAAGCAAAACAAAAAAAATTAACTTTCTTTTTAAGGCAGAAAACAATGCATTCATATTCTAAATCCCTGAACCAATATCTAACTTAAAAATAGCCAGATAGATTTTACTTAAATTGTTCAAAGAAATTTATTTTTCAGCCATAACCAAGGAACAAAAGTTCTATACCAACATCTACCACTACAAAAAAGAAAAAAAAAATAAGTTTAATAAGTTAAAGTAGAAATTACATGATAAAGTCCAAAGAGAATCCAACTGTAATCATTACTATTATAACACCATACAGATTTCCAGGATATCAAAGTAAGGGGGAAATTCTAAAAACTTGTTCCAGTTCAATTATGTGTATTTTCCAGATGGAAGTGGTAAGCACATAGTGCATGGAGTCACAAGATGCAACCATTCCTGTTTTTCAAAAGGCAGAGTAATATCAAGTATCATGTAGTTAAGTAAGATCTATCAGTAGTTAAGTACATTGGTATTATTTCTGATGGTAATTGTAATCCTTAATGACATTCTTTAAAGATACCTGAGGTTTTGAAACATAAAACTCAAAGCTTCTGTTTGAGAATGGCCCAGATGTCTTTTCTTCTTCTTCTTTTTTTTTTTTTTTTTTTGTCTTCTTATGCTAAGGTGTTTATTTTTTCAGGAATCCAAAGAACTTTTATATAAATTATCGTGGAAGGACAGATAGACACTTATTGCTGACCTATAAAGGAAACTTACTGTTTCTACTATGTCCGTATTTATGGAGTCTATGACTGGCTGGGGCACCCTGTGCCCACAAAGCCAACCAAGGTCATGGGTTCAATCACCATGAGAGCCAATTCCCTTTGCTCTGTTCCATGGTCATAGTCTTTACCCTAAACCTTAGCCAAAGGCCACATAGAAGAATAACTAGGCCAGAGATCCTGGATGAATCAGCAAGATCCACTACAATGACTATAAAAATAACTCTAAAGTAAAACCCCTACTGACTACTGTCAAGATTTCATTCTTTATATATTAAATTTGCCAATACGCAAAACAAAATCTTAATCACTGCTTACAAAGTTGGTATGCTGAAAAGACATACAGGTCTTTTGCCTTCTTTAATACAAAAGCAACAATGATAATGAGTATTATTCCTTAAAATGCCATTGCTTTTACTGGAATGGAGTTTATTTTTATGCAATCTTTTACTTAATAAAAATCTTGCAAGTAAAGTTAAATGTGAGCCCAACAAGTGCACTTTCCAGGATTTCCTTCAAAATCCAAAAGCAAAAGCTCTTAGTGGAGGGTCTGTTTTTATCTGAGTAGTTTCCTCTCAAAAAAGAGACTCACAGTTTTATTAGAAATCCCAGAGCGATACGACACTTCATTTGACTTTCTAATTACAGGACCACTGAGTTAGAATTGTTGACAAACAGAAGATCACAGATAATTATAAAAATTTAATTTAAAATCTCTCAAGTTTTATTTGTATTTGAGCAGAATGCCCTGTAAATATACAACATCTTTCACTGTTTACAGTTAGAGGATGTTATTTTATGCTTCTGGATTTTTTTTTTTTTTTACCATTTTCTAATCAAAATAAAACAGTACCAAGTCAATGAATAAGTCTATCTGTAGCAGAGTGGTCTCTGTTTACACAATATCACTATGCACTCAGTAGCTGCCCAATAAATATTAATTGATAATGATGGAAAAGGGCT